AGAGCCAGGCTGTGTGTGCACGACGGGGACCGCCCACCTCTGGAGGGGTGACACCATGTGTTACCGCAAATCCAATCCATCTTGTGGGGATCGTCGGCTTGCATTAAAACTTTTTGGTGTCATCCCATCAGATAGGTGTCACCCGGTGTGGAGCACACCCCCCCGCACCTACTTAGTGACGCAACTGCTCTTCTGATGCTTAGGGAAAATTCACACTGAAACAGACAGCTGCTTGAGCACTTTACCTCTTCGACAGCCGTCTGTTCTCTACTGCAGTAGGGGGCAGAGTGGTGCATGATTCAATGAATCACACAGTTCCCTTTTTTTGTTTGTTTTTGTGCAAACTTTATTTGAAATGTACAAAAGTACACTTCATTCCTGGTGCTGCACTGCTGTACGGTGCCATGCGGTTCTTTACAGTGCACTGCTGTAAAATGCAGTATGTATGCATTTTATAACAACTCGCTGCAGAGCAGCTCTGGGCTGCGTTGGAGTGTGAATGGGACAAACAGAAAACAATTGTTTTCTGTGCGTTCTTGCAGTGACAAGTGTTTTACAATGCAGAAAATTGTCTATTACTGGGTGAATTCATCCTTAGATTGTTGTCCCAGTAGCACAAAAATCTCTGCACAGGGTGGGATCTGGGGGTGTAATTGCCACACCATATATAACCTTAGTTGCAAATTATGGGGCTGATTTACTAAAACTGGAGAGAGCAAAATCTGGTGCTGCTCTGTGTAGAAACCAATCAGTTTCTAACTTGTTTGTTCAATCATGCTTAAAAAAAAAAACAAAACTGAAAGCTGATTGGTTTCTATACAGAGCTGCACCAGATTCTGCACTCTCCAATGTTAGTAAATCAACCCCTATATCTACAAACACTATTTTAAACATTTATTCTTGCTGTTTCTACTTTTAGCCCTGGTTCACACTGATGCAGTACGGAATTCACAGCATTTTCAGTACAAATTCTGCACCGCATCAGAATTACACCCCGTTCATGCAAACCGCTGAGGGTGTGTATGTTAACAACACCCTGAAAGCAGTCCACAAAACGCAGTGCGATGAACAGAATCAGATCGAATAGGTGTGAATACCTATGTGAACTAGTGCGGACCCAAAAAAGGGTCCTGCACGTTTTTGGTGCAGGTTCAGTGCAAATAGAGCCATACAAAATGTATGGCTCCAATTGCACCGCACACAAATCGCATGTGATTTGCACAGGAATGTGGTGCAGTTCCTGTGAGAATCACATGTGATATACCGTACTGCACATATGTGAACCCAGGCTCAAACTATAAACTGCTGCTACAGACAGTTACCAACTTGTTTGCTTAGTCCTTCTTTAATACAGTTTATTAGTTTTCAACAGCAACAAAAATTAAAGCCAAAAACAATTTTTTTCCATTTATGTGTGACTTTGGGCACACAAAGTCACATGACAAGTCAAAGCCCATTGTTTTCAATGACACCCATTGGGATCTATGCACCTTTGAAAAGGTTCTTGCACTACTTTGATGCGACTTAGTACCAGAGTGTACAGTCACATCAAAATCGCATTCCAAAGTCGCACTGGAAATCGTATGACTTTGGAGTCGCACAACTGTGAATGGAGCCTAAGATACAAAAGACCTATTTAATAAAATCTTCTAATACTGTGCTAGAGTTATATTTGCTGTTCCGCCCATCAGTGCCACTCACCATTGCCCAGCAGTGCACTAGTGGGTGACACTGCTGGGCACTGGTGAGTAGCACTGATGGGCGGCACTGCAGGGAACTGATCATCAGTGCCCTGATAATCAGTGCCCATCTTCTCTGTGACAGCAACTGTATTTACTAGGTGATCTGCTGTGTCATTGGACACAGCTGATCATGTGGTAAAAGGCCGCTGTGTTTGGCTTTTTACCTCATCATGTGATCAGCTGTGTCCGAGGGACACAGCAATCACAGAGATTTCTGAGTGTGCGCCGCTGGGAGCTCGTGGGAGGGCACGTTCTGGGAGGATGTCATATGACGCCCTCCCAGAACTGGACAACCACGTTGTAGCCATCATTCAGCTATAGCACAGTAACAATGTGGTTAAAGTGTAAAGCTGGTCATAGAGTGATCGAAATGTGCCCAGTTCAGCAGGTACCCACTGTATTTCTATCCATCTATGGCCATTCCCATTCGAGAGGAGTCAATATAATGATCGACTCCTCTCAAACAGGATTTCTGGTATATTTTCCTTCAAGCAGCACATGCAGCCATTTGGCTACAGCGCTGATTAGTGTATTCTGACAGAGGAGTCCTGCTATCAAAATACAATAGCTCAGCGGGGAGCATTCCCGCATCCACCATGTATGTGTGGATGGTGATATCTGTTCAATTTTTTTTTATCAACCCACTGACTCCTTGGCTAGTTTAAGTGTATGCAAACAGCTAAGTACACACTTCAAGTGGAAGATAAGGCTAATGCAGGCCATAGACGAGTCGTTCATCAACCAAATTTTCGTCCGCACGAAATATTCACGTCGATAGTGGGGCAATGCCGTCGGCCATTTTTCGTGGATCTTCTTATTTCTTCTTGTTTTCCGTGGATCTTCTTGTTTCTTTTTATCGGTCATGCTGGAAAATCCACAAAAAACAGCCGTTTTTCGTAGACATTGGTGGCAGCATCGGCAACGACTGATTTTTCGTTTATCGGCCGACAATTCGGCCGATAAACGGCCCGTCTATGGCCAGCCTATCTTTAACTATTTTTAAGCCAACCATAGATGGATCCATCTATGGGCAGGCTGGTTGTACTGTCTAATCACAGTGGGAGTCGACGGCAGGGCAGGCATGTGCCCTAAACCCAGAAACAGGTAGAGACATACAGGTACTTAAGCGTGCCTGTAGAAACCACCTGTCCACAGTACATTGTGGGCAGTCCTAAAATAATTAATCCAGGCACGTGATCCAGCAGCTCCAGCTCCCCTATGTAAGAGGGTGACAACTGCAGGGGAGAGTAGGGAGCTTGAAAACGCTGGGACCATAGGCGCCAATGGGTGATGCCAGGAATCAAGAGTTTCCTTACGTTGAAGAACCAGAGCTTTTGAATCATGTGACTGAATAGTGACAGGGTATGAAAGATAGGTAGGAGGACGGGAAGGGAAAATATTTAGGGGTAATTGGAGTAAAGCCGGCTATACAGATCAAAATTAATCCAGTCTCTACCAAATTTTGATTCATGTGTGTCCATGCCTGTTTGACAGAAGTCATTCGTTAGATTGACTTGCGTCAAAAGAGCTTGTTTGAAAATTTCTCAGAGTTCCTCTATCATAATACAATGTCCCAGCAGGGAGGATTACTCCAGCTGTTTTGCTTGTGTGGATGGAGGAATCCATTCTTTTTCTTTTTGTTAGGTGAGCGTCAAAAAAACAAGTGATCTATGGCCAGCTTTCGCTTTTACTACCACTTTAAAGTGCAGATGTGCAAACCATCTTCACCTGCCTAAAAATGTGCAATTCTGTTCATTCTGTGATGTAGTGCAAACACTACTGCCAAGCACTATAGCCATGTCCTGACCATTTACTTTCCTCCACTACAAACAAAGCAATACAGCAGCTCACAGAAGAAGTCAACTCTGTACAATGCTGTAAATGTTGACTGGCTTACAATCCTGCTTCTTCCTCTCTCTGATGTACAATTACAAGAGGCCGGTACAAAGACAGATTGAGTACCATTTAAAAATTTGGGTATTTTTCATTTAAAGAGACCTTGTCTTTTCTGTCTGCTGTGACAGGATGAACGGCGAGGTGATAGAGGGACGCTATGTGTCACCTCGCATATGCTCATACCTGACCGTTTAGGTGGAGTCCACTCCGGGTTTTCGGGGCCACAGTTAAGCAGGTGGGTCCGGACCAGAGTTTGGGCTCCACTGATGACCACCAACAGGTGGTATAAATAAGGCAGGGCTGGAGCAAGGAGTTGCTCGTGGCCTGGGACTCAGAGAGGTGTTCTGAGAGAGCTGTGTGTGTACTATACCTACAAGAAAAGGTTTGCTTTTGTTTTATTTCGGTGACAGGGAGAAGCCCTTCACCTCTGAGAGAGGAAACGCCTTTTGTTTAGTTAGTGCCTGGATGGCAAGGGTTTATTTTCATGTTTTGTTTATTTTCTGCGAATCTTTTAAAAAAGCTGACAACCAGTCAGATTTTGATGAAAGCCTGCTGTGCGGTCTACCTTTGTCCCAGGGAAGGAGATCCCCCACCTGAACTAACCCCACACTGCTAACATGAGCATTTAAAAGTAAAGTTAAATAAAGAAAGAGGGAATTTAAGTATATTTTCCTATCTCAAAAAGTACTTTTTGTTACCCTCAGACTCCTCCCGATCTTTTTTTTTTTGCTGTTGAAGACTTCAGTTTCCATGGTCTTACTCTCTTGGCCTTCCCTGTGCACCATGGGATGTGTAGTGTGAATAGGGAAGTACTAATAATATACAAGAACAACTAAAACAACAACTAACATGAAAAATAACTAAAGAACAACTAACATTCACTGTTTGTTTCAAACAAACAGAAGTGAGTGGGAAAAAGAGAAGCTTGGGAGCTCATGGAGGACATCACAAGGAGGGTGAACAATACTGTGAGAAAAAGTTTAATGAAAAATAGATTATAGGGCCATTAGGTAGTGGATGTGCATAGATTATTTTTGTGAAATAAATATATCATTTAGTATCACTTTCATCATGATTCCACAAACAATGAAGCTTAAATCTTTTCTACTATATCGGTTAGAATATTTATTCTTTGTACAAAAAAAAAAAATAAAGCTGCAACACACCATTCTACAAAAGAAAATAGTAAATTTATTTCAGTAAAAAAGGTGTAGATTTACAAAATAAGTACAAAATTTAATTAAAATAATTAAACCTGTCCTACTGTCCGGAGTATCCAAAGTCACATTGCACTAAAAGCTCAATTGCATTCATGTCCAGTCGGCTACTATGTCAGAATAAAGTCCATAAATTGTAAGTGCTTCATACATCACAATAATTGTAGTAACTGATGTTACTGGATTCTGTGGCTAAAGGCAGCATGTTAGTATTATCAATCCCATTGTAGTCATCTGCTTCAGAGTTTAGTTCTGTGTCATTCTTGAAATCATGTAAGTATTGATCAAACTCATTCTTGTCTATGTCAATCGCAATGTGGCTGGGATTGATGTGATCTGCTGTGGTCATCTGCTGGGGTGCAGGGGAGATGTGCTCTGGAGTTGCCACTTGAAGAGGACCACTGGAGGAGGGTATGTAGTACTGCCCATAAAACATGTGCGGAGAGGTCTGCTCTGGAACATCCTGTAATATTTGACCCACATGAGCCATCTGTTTACTATACGAAGAGCTGGTGTTTTTTTGCTGGCAGAAGGAGTATGAGCCATTGTAGGCGTAGGGCACCATATCATTTTCCACTTGGGTGGGTGATGAAGAGTAGTGCAAAGGTGCAGCCTGTGGGGTTTGGGATGATGGGTAATTGTAACCTTTGTAATAGTGTCCCATGGAGAGTTGTTCTGTGTAGTGGCTGTTCTGTGTAGAGGTCTGAGGTTGTTGGTGATTAGCAGAGCCTCCAGAGAAATTGTCCATTCCCATCATTCTAAAACTGTTTGGTCCTGGAGAGCGCACAAGCTCTGTAATGGGATAGAGGTTCTCATCTACCCTCATCTGCTTCATCTGCTTCTTCCTCCTGGGTCTGTACTTGTATTCTGGGTGGTCCTGCATGTGCTGTACCCTCAGTCTTTCTGCTTGTTCCACAAATGGGCGCTTTTCAACCAGAGCCAAAGACCTCCATGATTGCCCTGCACAACAGAAAAAAATCAATCATAATAGCACTGCTATAAACTAACATGCACAACACATAAACATGCAGAAGGATAACTATCAACCCAACAGGCTCGGTTTAAAAGGCTAACACACCAGGACCCCCATTATTATTGTGTTAGCCAACTGTTGTTGCACAATCTTTTCAATCGACAGTCTTTATTGACTAACTCAAAAAGAAGTTTGGATTTAGAGTGACCCCATTTCTACAACACTCTCCTGCTTCTTGGCCACTTTAAAATATTAAAGATACAAGCTTCTGGAACTTTTTAGGTTCCTTCCTAAGATATCATACAGTTTCTAATTTTCAAAAAACGGAGCTACTTTTAGTTGGATCCAACAAGGATTCCGTTTGAAAATAACAGTCATATGGCTAAAAATAAAGATTTAAATAAAAATATCCTTGTGTTAAAGCTTTGTGGATTATGTCCCATAGACTGAAACCATCCATCAGTAAGCGAGAGGAGTTCCCAGGATTGTGTACAATATATTATATCCTATAATACCTATCAAATACTAACATATTATTTATGGAGTGCTATAACTAGATGCTATATCAATCACACCTATCATACCCCACAATACCTTCCAAATCCTAATAGATATATGCAGTATTAGATGCTATATCAATCAAACCTATCATACACCATAATACCTTCCAAATCCTAATAGATATATGCAGTATTAGATGCTATATCAATCACACATATCATACCCCATAATACCTTCCAAATCCTATTAGATATATGCAGTATTAGATGCTTTATCAATCACACCTGTCATACACCATAATACCTTCCAAATCCTAATAGATATATGCAGTATTAGATGCTATATCAATCACACCTATCATACCCCATAATACCTTCCAAATCCTAATAGATATATGCACTATTAGATGCTATATCAATCACACCTATCATACACCATAATACCTTCCAAATGCTAATAGAAATATGCAGTATTAGATACTATATCAATCACACCTATCATACACCATAATACCTTCCAAATCCTAACAGATATATGCAGTATTAGATGCTATATCAATCACACCTATCATACACCATAATACCTTCCAAATCCTAATAGATATATACAGCTTTAGATGCTATATCAATCACACCTATCATACCCCATAATACCTTCCAAATCCTAATAGATATATGCAGTATTAGATGCTATATCAATCAAACCTATCATACCCCATAATACCTTCCAAATCCTAATGCAGTATTAGATGCTATATCAATCACACCTATCATACACCATAATACCTTCCAAATCCTAATAGATATATGCAGTATTAGATGCTATATCAATCACACCTATCATACCCCATAATACCTTCCAAATCCTAATAGATATATGCAGTATTAGATGCTATATCAATCACACCTATCAGACCCCATAATACCTTCCAAATCCTAATAGATATATGCAGTATTAGATGCTATATCAATCACACCTATCATACCCCATAATACCTTCCAAATCCTAATAGATATATGCAGTATTAGATGCTATATAAATCACACCTATCATACCCCATAATACCTTCCAAATCCTAATAGATATATGCAGTATTAGATGCTATATCAATCACACCTATCATACCCCATAATACCTTTCAAATCCTAGTAGATATATGCAGTATTAGATGCTATATCAATCACACCTATCATACCCCATAATACCTTTCAAATCCTAATAGATATATGCAGTATTAAATGCTATATCTATATCGATCATATCCTTCCAAATCTATAATTTGATGCTACATCAATTAATGCTATCATATCTATCAAATCCCAATAGCCGTTTATGGAATAATATTTTGATGCTATATCTGTAAAATATATCGTATCCTATAATATTTACCAGATTCCAATATATATTTATGGATTATATTATAGTATACAATGGTACTGAAAATATTTCCTAAACAAATCACTATATCAGCATATACTAAAAAAAAAGGGGAAAAATGACGCATATCACAGCAATGTACCTTCCCCTCCTCCAGCTTTTTCATTTAAAATTAGTAATAATTAATTACAAATATAAAGTTTTGATAGTAAAAGAAAGCTCCTGAGGTGTAGCAGGGAGTTGTCTTACCGAGCATTTTGCTGAGTTCGGCATTGTGCAGGTCCGGGTTCTGTTGGGCCAGTCTCTTTCGCTCATCTTTCGCCCACACCATGAAGGCATTCATCGGACGGCGGATCCGAGTCTCGGCTTTGCCCCTGCTGCTGCTGGCAGATCCCGGTTCGCACTTGACTTTGGCCTCCATGGTATCCGTCCACTGGCACTGACCCAGGCCGAGCATCATCATTGGCAGCACGGAGCTCTTTCCTTGGATCTGGTCGTCACTGGCGTATCCACCGTCAGGGCTGCTCATGTCTAGAGAAGATGATCGCTGTGCTGGGACTCCTGTCTGCCCAGAGGACACCGCCTACCGTCTATAACGGCCAATCAGCGCGCGGGGGCAGGGCGGGGCTGCTCTGCAAAGGTGTGAAGGGAGTGATCAGCTGATACTTGGCCAGGTAGCCCACCTCTGGGATTAGTGTGATAATGTAAATGAACCCTGCAGGGCAAAGCCAACACCGAACACCTCCTTCCCTTATTCCGTTTTATGACCACTAAACTAATACAAATATTTATCATTGCCCAAATGCAAACTAATATTTTGTACTGGCAGCCTTGGCATGTCAGCGCCTCGATTTATTGGCATGTCACTGCCTCTTATTGTATTCATTTCTGGGATTTTTCTCTTGGCTTTCTGTTTATTTCTTTGTAAATATAATAATTATTATTATACATGCAAGGTTATTATCTTCTCACTTATGTTTCTTATTCAGCCTCTAAATTGAACAATCTTCTATCACTAGACTACTTACATGTGAAGACTATAAATGTGTGATTCATTATATTATATGGCATCGATGGCATATGGCATTACTATAGCTGCCATCTCTCTGTGCGGTTCATCTGATTGCCAGTACATTGGCTACAATGTCCATAGAGTGACACCTGTCCCTTCAGCCCTGGAAAAGTCCTGCTAAAAACAACTGTAACAGTTTTTATTACAATTTACGTATTCATCTTTATTTATGTTCATATAGGACATATACTGAAGGAATATGGTATTCTGTATACATCAGCTCCAAGCGATTGTTTTATTCCCACAGACTTCTAGGTGAATAATGATGATAATAATAATAATAATCAACAATAGTTGGTGTACCTAAAGTAAGAATATATATATATATATATATATATATATATATATATATATATATTAGTGTATTTCTAATACTTATATTATGTTTCTATACGTTTTCATAGTAAAAGTAGTAATATATATTTCTAATAGTTGTATTCTGTTTTGTTTTCCTTTCTATGTATGATTTTCTACCAGTTTGTGTTTACCAATATACAGTTGTTATTCCAACTGCTACTGATGGCATTATTATGATTATAAATATTGTTATTTATGGTCAAATGTTTATAATTACAAATACCCTACTATTATTATAACTACTCTTAAACATAACAAAAAATGTATTCCATTAGTATTCTTAGTAATAGAAAAAGAAGTAAATGAATAGAAATATAACAGAAATAATGAATCAATATAATAAAATAGACTACTGCTATTACATTTGCTACTACTCATTACTCCAAGGAGCAGGGTCCTCCTTTCCCTCTTGTATTGAACTGTATTGTTGCTGTATTGTCTCCCGTTATATTGTAAAGAGCTGAGCAAACTGTTGGCACTATATAAATTCTGTATAAAAATAATAATAATAATAATAATACGGACGGACAATACCAATTAATATAATTGTAATAATGCAGTTAGTAGCAGTTGGAATAGTAACTGTGTAATGGTAAGACTAGTAGAAATGCACATATAAAATGGATGGTAGAAACAGAATATATTATTATGATTAGAAACACACTATTACTACAGCAGAGATGGCTGCATTAGCAGAGTATTGTCATAGTAGGGATGATGACGTCAAGCTCCCTGGATTTATTAATGTATTTCTGCCTTTTACATGAACAGAGTCAGCGCATCATCAAAGCAGAGGTGAAAGTGGATGGAGATAATCAATATTTGCTCAAGAGATATTACAATACAATGTGTGCAAGATATATGAGTCTACATGAATGGCTGTTATCAGTACACCCCTCAGAGCAGGACAAGCTGTGCTGATTGTGTCTGCTGGCAGGCAGACAGAGATTTCATTAAAGCAGACCTGAGCTCCAGATACATTTCATATTACATTAATGATGAGTCCAGACCACCGAAACCTCACCCTGTCTGCTCTCGTCTCCACTGAAACCAACCCCAGTCACCTTGTGTATATGGAAGTCTATGGAAGCTTGACACCTCCACAGGTCAGGGCTAGACTTCGGCCACAACCAGCATCAGAGGTGTGAAATGGGCTAAGTATGAAAAGAAGGGTGTTTCTGGCTCTGCACCTCTATTAGCATAATTATTAAGAGCTCCATTCAACTTCACCATTGCAGTCAATTAATGCCTATTATCATTCTATACGGTGGCAGCTCTGAGTCTTGTCCTAAAAGAGGCTGGGAGTGAGCCACCCTGCAATCCACAAAAACATGGAGGGACAATGGAAGCCAAGTGTCAACCGAAACTTCCCGGTGATGTGCAGAGAACAGAGAGGAGGCTGCAGAATCCTGGTCTGAATCTCTGATCACTGAGTGGAAGTAAGGGGAGATCTCCCATACACCTTCCTATACACATCTTTTTATCCCCATGGCTGGACCATTACTATTACCATACATATCACTATGATCACTGCATAGTCAATGCTGAGCTGATAACCCGACTTCTGCACTGTGTGCTAACCTGTAGTCTGGATATCTAGTCCTAGACCCTCCTGGTGTGCAGTCACTGCACTCCAATGCTTGTTCTGTAGCCTTCATTTACTGTATACTATCATGTAATACGTTCATAGTCCCTGCAGCCCTGTATAATGGCCACTTACCGCTACAGTCAGCAATAAAACCTCTGTGCATCCCCTAACAATTATCTATCTATCTATCTATCTATCTATCTATCTATCTATCTATCTAATCTATCCTTTGTTTAATCCTCGTCTTTCTTTCTTTCTTTCTTTTTTTCTTTCTCTTTCTCTTTCTCTTTCTCTTTTCTCTTTCTCTTTCTCTTTCTTTTTTCTTTCTTTCTTTTTTCTTTCTTTCTTTCTTTCTTTCTTTCTTTCTTTCTTTCTTTCTTTTTCTTTCTTTCTTTCTTTCTTTCTTTCTTTCTTTCTTTCTTTCTTTTTCTTTCTTTCTTTCTTTCTTTCTTTCTTTTTTTTTTTCTTTCTTTCTTTCCTTCCATATTCCCTTTCTTTCTTCATTTTCTCCATTCTTCCCTTCCTTTTTTCTTTCCTTCAGTTTCTTCCTTCCTTTCATCTTTCTTCCCCTTTTTTAATTCATTCCTTCTCTCCTTCCTTCCTTCTTGCCTCCTTTTCTCTATTTTTAAAATCTCTTTCTCTATAGTGAATGCTATATAGAATGCTCCAATATAAAAATACAGCTACACCAACTGTTCCTGACACTGTCATATATATACAAACATTTGTATCCACAAACTTTTTCTGTCACAATTTCCTGTGACTGATGATAATATGTACATTTTATGCACCATGAAGAGGGGCGGTAATTGCCATATCTCCTATTGACACTACAAGTCCAAGCACTCCCATGGTTAGAATGGGGCTTGTAATCATTATTAGCGGAAACCTCCATTCTGTTTTTTTTTCTTTCTTCATTAATATGACTGTTCATATTTTCTGATCAGATTTCAGAATGTAAAAACACAGCGGTTCAGTATGGATACAGTTTGGCTTCCTCACAGCACAAAACATAAAGTGACAGTCAGGCATTGTGCATACAAATAGTTTGAGGCAGGCAATATCTAGTCCATCTGAGAAGTAGATTATTAGCCAGACAGCTCTATGGGATTCGATTTGATCACAGTCCTGACCGCGGACATCGATAAGAGGATTAAATCAGCGTCAAATCTGATATGTTTATTATAGACTCGGTATCATAATGTCTCATCTTTGTCTGTTCAAGTGACAACTCATTCAAAAGACCCGCAACTGACAAATGAAACTATCTATGGCTGGGGGAAACTCTATTACCATGATTATATTATTTAAAATACTAGACACAACAAAAAACAAACAAACATTCAGACAGTATAAAACTGGTAGAAGATCATACATAAAAAGGAAAACAGAATACAACTATTAGAACGATTTTATATATATATATATATATATATATATATATATATATATATATATATATATATATATATATATATACACACACACACACACCCATGTTGCTCACAGGGTTTTGAGTGCCAAGAACATAAAAAATGTTACTAAAAGAACCTTGCTTACTCAGCCTACTTATTCACCTTTCCTCCCTTCTACATTTTCTATCTTCTATCTCTTATAACTAATGAACAACAAATAATAAATAAAAATATTATTATATATATCATGATTCATTGTTGTGTTTTAATATCATTTAGATTGTAAGCTCTCAGGAGCAAAGCTAGTCTTATATTGGAACTGTTCTGTCTCCCTTTATGCGCTGTACAAAGCGCTATATATATCCGTAATAATAATAATAGTAATAGTTACCAATACTAGCCAGCCAGATTTTTATCTTTTTAAATGAACAATTCAAAATGTAAATTGTTCTCATAAAGGCTATTATATGACCTATAATAAGAAACCTATTTTATTGCCCATCTGATCATCACATTTTGTTATTTTCCCGAATTATGATTTTTATTTCTGTTCAGACCATATTTAAATCAAACATGACAAAGGAACAGTTAGGGTCAGTGTATATTCACTGTATATTTAGTGTATATTCTTGTGACAGTATTTAATATATGAAGGATCACACTTTGGTATATTTAACCAATTTTCAGGACCAAATAATTTTTTTGAAAGGGGGGATATGGAGAAACTGAAGAGGAGTGAATGTTTTGTCCATCGAATTTCTACTAGTTGATACTTATTACTAGGGGAGGAACGAAGAGTGACAGTTGGACAGCAGTTGTAGGCTTGCTCCCTGGTTCTCTATATGCAGGGTGCTCAGTACACTGAGGATCCCTATAGGGATCTGCTGGCTTCTCTTTATGAAATTATTATTGGCATTCTAACGACTTATGATAACATTAGAAATATTCCAACGCCTTGCTCAGTCTTGTGTCCCCAATGAATATGATAAGTAAATTAAAGCTCTAGATAAACGATGTAATCCTTTGTCTGGGTCTATTCTCAAATCTGGTTAATGTAAATGATTGTTAATGAGGAGCGCTAATTGATCAATTACTGC